CCCTAAATAAAGAATGAATGAGCAATATTGTTCTGAATACGCTAATAATGTAGTTATGTATCTACGGTGTTCTTTAATGACCATAATTATCACTCACATTCATTAGTCTATTTACACTATTCAATCAGCTCTAGTCAAAGCAAAAATTATGCTATCATTTTAAACCTAGCTACAAAGTATCAACAGTATAACATAAAATCAAGAAAGCATCATTCATATCGATATTACTTGTTTGTACATTGGGCTCAGTCATTGATTGTTACATTGTTGCAAGGTGTTTGGACACTCACTTCATGTCCACACTTTATCGGTGTATTCATTATCTTCACCTACGTTCATGACCTGAATTCCTATCAGTTTGCGGTTCTCAGCTGTTCCAAAATTGTTGCACAATAGGAAAACTAAATGTGGTTGCTTAATTAAATCTATCTGGTGTTGGGTGCACAACTGCATATCAAGTTTGTTTGTTTGTTTTGAATTTCGCGCAAAGCTACACAAGGGCTATCTGCGCTGGTCGTCCCTAATTTAGCAGTGTAAGACTAGAGAGAAGGCAGCTAGTCATCACCACCCACCGCCAACTCTTGGGCTACTCTGTTACCAACGAACAGTGGGATTGACCGTCACATTATAACGCCTCTACGGCTGAAAGGGCGAGCATGTTTGGTGGGACTGGGATTCGAACCCGCGACCCGCAGATTGTGAGTCGAGCTCCCTAACCACCTGGCCATGCCGGGCCACATATCAAGTTTCAAAGTTTAATCAAAACTAATGATTTTACTCATATTGGTTTGAAATTGATATGTTGTCATTTAGTAACATTTATTTAATGCAGATTTTTAACTTACATTTCTACACAGCTGCGAGGATATCGTTAGCAAACAACACAGTTATTGATTTTTCAAAAAATTTCTGCCCATCCCAAAACTTAGGTTTATATTTGCCAAGAAACTATCGACATATATAATCGACATATATAATTTTCAGTGTTTTGTTTTTCACGTGTTTTTCCTTTTCTTCTCTTTCCCGGCCCGGCATGGCCAGGTGGATGA